TGGATCTGATCTTGGAAGAGCTTCAGACAAATAGGTCTGTGTAGAGGACAACGTCAGAAACAGCATGCAGAGCTGTGTTCTCATTAGGATGTCCACCAACAATTGATTATTCTCATTAGTATGATGAAAAGAAGCAGAGAAAGCTCTTGAAAAGGAAAGACCAGAGGGTTTAAGCAGCTGCAGCCTCCAAGAGCTCTCTCTCTCTGCCCTCTCCCTGATTCTCCTTTCTGATAAGTCCCTGCACCGGCCACGCAGCAGCACCACCCAGAGCACATATAGTGTGCCCTTCGATCTGCTTGGTGACTTCCTGAAGCATATCAATCTCCTCCGGCTTGGCATTCCCCACCTTCAACCTCTTCATAATCATCCACAGCCATCCGGTTCCCTCCCTGCAGGGTGTGCACTGACCGCAGCTCTCGTGCTTGTACAAGTAAGACAGTCTTGCTATTGCGTCCACGACATCAGTGGATTTGTCCGTAACAATCACCGCTGCAGTATCCAGTCCAGACTGAACAGCTTTAAGAGCATCGTAATCCATCATGACATCATCACATATGTGCTTGGGAAGGAGAGGAAACTCTTGCTGATCGATTGATTATAGACTGGACAGCTGAGTTTGAGGTGAAGAGTTGAAATTAAAGGCTTTTATTGATGTTCTTGGATCGGTCCATCCAAGTTGCTTTTCCATGTTTTGCCGCATCAAGTGGATGCATATACTTAGTGGTTTTGATAGGGTAGATTAATTGTTTTTTATTGAAAGGATGTATCCTTCACCACATATTATACTGATAATAACATCCTACAACAAGAATCAAGCGCACTGACCATCATATATTATAATCAATCATATTTGAAGGGAGACAATAAGTGCATATCATCATGTCTTGATTCATAGATTCAAAGGAGTCGGAGACGGGTATTTGGATTGGTCAGTCTAGTGAACAAGGCTTCCAAGGCAAACTTTTAGGAAGACAACGTATGCAATCAATTCATACTGAAGTATAATTAGTACACCTGCGTATAAATGGTGTATAAATAATTACTAATTTCTTCATCCATGATATTGAGTTATAATTGGCCGTGCAAATAAATGGATAATAAATTTTGGATAAATTTCTCAAAAAAAATCTCAAGATTTTACTTTTTCCACTTGAAAGCATTCTCACTGCTCTGATACCATGAAGAAAATAATAGAAGATAAGAATAATTATTGAAGAAACTTTATTGAAGAAATAAAAAATGCTTCAATACATTAATGTATTGTTCCTCTCCTATTTATACAAATTAGGAGAAAGAATTTCCCTCAACAGAATAAGAGATTTCCTCGTATAGTTAGGGAAATCTTATCTTCTATCACCTTTTACCTTTGTTTGTCTCTTGGTTGTCTTTACCATGCTACTATCTTTATTGTCACTTTTGTCTCCCAGGTGTAATCATTATAACGAACAAACCCCAGCGACTAAATGTGAGAGGAGTGTGTGAGTATGAAGTTCTATCAATTCCCAATAGCGAGTAAAAAGGTTGATATAGTTATTGCTACATACGCATGCAGGGTTGACATAGTAATAATGCATCTCATGCGGCGGGCGGGAAACAACGTCCGCAGCCAGCATCGATGGGGTCATGGGTGCAACACGAAGGTCTCGAACGCTTCACACGCTGTTGTTTCTGAGACGCCAGGAAGAAGCTGCCATGCGCGCTCCCCCATTCCTCTTCCATCGGCCTCGCTGCCGTCAGCGATTGCAAGCTCCAAACCAGTAGCAGAAAAAGTAGCAGCTGCCTCCACGCCACGGCCATCAATCATCAATGGAAGCAATCTCTTCTTCTGATCACATTGTTATGGCGCTATATGCATATATATAGAGAGACTAAAATGGGTTGTACTGTTCTAAGCACCGTTGAATGCCGATGCGATAGATGCCACAGGCATGAACTCACCAAAAAAGAACGAATATTTTAGCCAAAGATCAATCATCGTTATGGCGCTATATGTACCTATAGATGTACTATTTTATGAACGCTATATGTCTGTTGTATCAATCAATCATCGTACAACAGAATCAACAAGTGTTTTTATATGAATCAACCTGTCGTGATGACTGTCAAGTCGTAATGCTTTTACTATCCCACTTGTATCTGCTCCTATGCTTTTGTAACCCAGAAGTGGATTTAGACTTCATCGGTCCAAACGGATAAGGACTGGGTGGACTGCGGTGCTCTCTCTCGAATCTGATTACTATTGGACATCGATGCAATAGAGCCAAAAGTATGACTCTGCCAAAAAAATGCAAAATACAATAGAGCTCAAAGGCATGAACACGCCAAAACAAAAGTATCATCTTTTTGGTGTGGTCATACCTTTGAGCTCTATCGGGGAGGGATCATATGTAAGTATAATTTTTCCTTAAATAATAATAAGATATTATTAGTTCCAATATATTTGAGAAAGAGTAATACTTGAATATGATCCTTTGCCACTGGTTTTGTAGGTGATGTAATTGCCAAAAAGAAAGGAGAATTATCTCATCTTGGTGGGCATCGGTAATGTATATGGATATGATCACCATAAAGAAAGATGTATCACCCCACCTTTCTTTTTGGTGATCATATGCAAGAACGTCAGAATTGTTGTCTTCTTTCAAGAAGTGAGGTAGAGTAGTCCTTCCTCGCTTTCTCCAAGGGTTTCGGCTGGAGCTTTCCTCGTGCCACATTGATAAACTGATGAATCCAAATGCCATCATCCCTTTTCCAAGCATCAGTAGTGGAAGCTCAGCATGAGTAGGATCGATTGCCAGATAAATAAAACCATTAGATTCTCGGGTGGGCCCGTGGCATTCCTTAGGATCGAAGTGGCCGCCTTGTAATGGAAGGATGATAAGATTATAGAGAAAACCATTATATCGACTGACTGTTGGCTTTCAATGGAATTTCAGTGAGAAATGATAAGATTATAGAGAAAACTAAGAATACTTTTAATCTGTAATATTTTGGATTCATCCAACAACACCTATTTATATTAGTCAAGAGATAAATATATATATATATATATATATATATATTTTAACAATGAAGAGATCAATCATAGCCCAATAAATCTCATCACCCTCATCTATTTATCTTAATCTCAATCTCTTATCTTTTGTTTAATGTTCATCACCTTCCATTACGTTCCTCCTCACCCCCTTCCTATAGTCTAATCTTTCGAGTATCATCCTCAATTCTATGATCTTATGCTAGTGTCATATAAATATAGCGAATAACAAGAGGATAAGAGAATCTCGGTTTGAAAACAGAAGCTCCTCAACAAGAAACAACAAATAATTAAGAATTGTATTAGAAACATGCATTATTGGTGGAAATAGTGAGACGTTATTGTGTGCGAGTACAGACACGACATCGTTAAGAACTGTATTGGAAACATACGTTATTGGTTGAAATCGTGAGACCTGTGTGCGAGTGCAGAATGCTAAGAGAAAATTAGGTTCTATAATCTCAACGATAAGAGAAAAAGGCTGATATGCATGTGATTCTTGAGATGTAGGGAGGGTTCCAATCTTCGCACGCAGCGACGACCGTCATGGAGCATGGGGCGGGAAACATGGCCCGCTGCCACCATTATTGCCGTCGCTATTGCAATCCGAAGCTCCCGAAGGCGGCACCGTCCGTTGTTTTCGGGACCCCATCAGGAGGCCGCCCTGCGTTCTGCACCAGGAAGTAAGATTATTACAATTACTATGGGTTGTCACTACCAACAACAAGTCTGTAGGTTATCACCGCCGAGGTTGAGATGGGTGTGGTTGCGGAGACGGGGAGCTCCATGTATATCTAGAGGTGCCACACCATGCTTCACGTAAATACTGCATGCATTCAACGTAGTTTTTTATAAAGACTTTCGCGCTCCGTTCCAAACTCGGTTGTCTGCTCTTTGCGAGGTTTTGCTTCCCATCTTCGTGCTTGACGATGCCATGGTAAGTGACCAAAGGGTTTGAATTTGATGGAGTCGTACGGACGTGAAGGTCGTCTGCCATCGTCATGAACTGGTAATTAATAGGTTGTTTTTGTTATTGATTTGCATCATGGAAAGCATTGAGAGAACAGATCATACGAATCTAATTAGAAATAACATCATCGGATTCTTATTTCGGATGCATCCAGGTGAAGTTTCAGGGACGGACAGCAAGAATATTGGACTCGGGTTGGTTTGTGTGTCGATCACTCCTCTTGACCGGATGAAAGTTATGAATACTTGTGGATGGATTCAATTGATGAGTTGACTCTGGACCAATGCTTGCAACGTTGACTCTCGCCACCAACTTAGATGTGCTTAGTCACGCGAGTTGCTGATCCTACGCGAAACAATTCTACAACAAAATGCATTACAGTGGTTAATATCTAATTGCATAGTCGATAGGTTTTGTATATGAGTCCAACGTGATTTAATATAATTAAAAAATAATTAAAAAAGCAAGATATGTATCTGTGATTAGTAACCACCGTGTCGAAGATTGTTTTGGCAATCGGCTGTAAAATTTGACTGGATGAATTTTTTATGTAGAGAATACCAAACTGTTATAACAGATTATTTTCGTCAATCAAATACAAAATTACTTTTGTTGTGGTGAAGTCGCTATGACGGTCACAGTCATTATAAGATTATTTTCCTCTACTGGTGAAGAGTTCTCTATGTTCATAGACGAACCCCTTAAGAGATAACTTCGATGTTTAAGTCAGTATTTATTGAAGGTTAGGATCACCGGATCCTTCCATGTTTAAGTCAGTATTTGAAAATATATAATTTGAAAATATATCCCATGTGCCAAATCTATGATTTGAACATAATAGAAGTTATTCTCTACATGCAAATTTGCCAAAAACAAATATTATCTTGTTTCTTATACCAAAATAAGCAATAGAAATAGTAGAAAGAGAACTAATTTGGATCATTTTCTTGGAATGTTTGTTCATATATTTGTATAGCCCTTTAGCATTAAGATCATGTCTGGTAAAGTGCCAAGCAAAGTTAATTGTAGATTTAATACACTGGCACAATCATTTCCACTCGAGAAATCTTTTCAAAACCAGCTGTGTGAGAGAGAATATTGAATATGTTCACAATAACATTACCAAAAAGAAAAAAACACTACCTTTGGTCTTTGTAGACGTGATGATCAACCATTGCCGATGCAACGGAGTAACCTTAATCGTCCTTTAATTTGTGTTTTTCGGCACTTAGTCTGCCCACCAAGAAAGAAGTCCCAAACCATCGCCATAGATCTCTCCCTGTCAAAAGGCATGAGCGCCAGAATAAGATGATTGCAGTTAGAAGTTACCTACAAGACTATGGAAAGGTATTTGGTCTAAAATTCTGTCATCCTATTTATGATTTAAACGACATGATTTTTTTACCCACTTGTAACCCAGAAATAATTCATTTCTAACACATGTACAAAAATGTTTGCCATGTCCTTATTCTAGTATCAGAAAGATGAAAAAAGCCCTCAATCTTCTATATCAATTTGTTTGATTGACATAATCAGGGAGAAAAATTGCGCTATCAAAGGCCAAGCAAATTATTTCTGGTGGTAGATAATAGCAACAAATTCAAGCACAAATCACACCAATCTTTAAAGACATGTTTATATTATCCAGCAAACTATCATCACATTTGTCTTTAATATAAGTATGTTTCAGCCCTTTTCCTCGTTGACATAGCTCAACTAATTTTTGGTGTTAATAGGAAATATCTTTTTACGGTGTAACAAGTTTCAGTAACTTGTTTTTGCCCCATTCCAGACTTTCCTATGTATTATTCTAGACCTTTTTTATCTTGTTAACATAAACTATCTTATCATCAGCTGCATCTTCAACATCAACCATATCATCAAAATATAATATGATCTGCCATTAAACAAATTCTGCCCTAATTTACATCAGATGGTTCACACATTTCTTAGCATTTCTTCTATTCTTATTAGAAAATTGTACTTCTATCCTAGATCTTTTCTAGCTCTAAATGTTCACACTTACACCATCTGCAGCCGCAATGAGAACCATTTTACGGTAGAAATCATAAACAAATCCCAATTAGAACGTTAAAACATAGAAAACAAACCATAAATTGAATTGACATTGCAGAATTAAGATAAAGAAAAACTTTAGTCAATCGTCAGAAAGATTGAAAGAACAGCAAATATGCTATTACTAGTGAGAACAGTAGTAACTGTTGGCAATGATTGCCCATGGTGTGTAAATTGGGGGGGAGGTGGCAGAGAAATATGACGACTAATGATGACAAGAACTAAAACAATAGTGAGAGAAGAAGAGGGATGAAAGACATGCAACATGAACACATGAACAAATGATGGTCGATAGTCAATAGGTGATCACCTTTTTCCACATGGCATCCTCTTTGAAACAATCATTTTATGTAGTAAACTTTATGCAAGACATGCATCATGAAACAGTGAAGTGCCACTGAATACTCCTTTGAAATCTCATGTCTATTTGATCTATTATTTGTTTTTTTCTCTAAGCCAAGCATGTGCTGGCTGCTTCAAGTCATTCTAGAAAATTTAAAGCTGATATGCCAGAGGTAGATTGAGAGCAGTACAGCAATTTATATTAAGCAAACAAAAGAAACACATCATGACAGGCAAAGATAAATACACAAGCCCATAAGACATTCTTGTAGGACTACTATCATAATTTTAAGTTGCAAATATCATTAACAAATAGTTTTAGTCAGTGACCAGAACCCACTATAAGCTCATGATTTTATTATCCTTAAAATGAAAGTATGTCGGCAATTAGAACAAGACACCCTAAATCAGACAAGGAGAGACTAGTCTAAGTAAATGCAGCAAGGACTTACAATAATCTCCATAGGAGAGAAGGGACTTGCATTTGCATCTTGCTCCAAAGGAATGGGAGGATAATTAATTTTGGTCACCCGGAAATGTACCTGCAGGCTGTTTTATAAGACAAACTGTTTTTCAAGGCATATGTAACAGATGTCTTGGTTTCATGACTCCAGAATTCAAAATTTTAGACAACATACCTCTTCGTCTAAATCCATAGGTAAGTCTCCACACTCATGTTCCCATATCCATATGCCATCATCTCCCCTGTCACCTCCATGAAAGGGCAAAAGTTTGTAAACCATAAAACTGAAATAGTTTATCGCAAATGACCATATTGGTACTTGTGTATAACTAATTAAATTTAAACTGTTTATCATCAATTTGTTCAGACAGACATGAAATCTAAGAACGAGGGGCTTGCATAAATAAATAATTTAACTTTTCATCAGGACAAATACCAGAAAGTTATGACTGCAGACAAACATAAAATGACTTGCTTTCCATGGTTCAAGATGATATTGAAACAACAAATGAACCTTACATTCTGCTTTTGTGTGGGAGTAGGTGCACAGGAACCTTTATGTCATCAAAGAACCCAAGAGACACTGCAACACATATAGAACATATTAAGCAATCAAATAAAAAATGGAGTTCGAAATGCTTTGTCAGCAATGATGTCTCAAAAACTGAGGTCATGATTGTATATCAGTTTTATATGCATGCATATATGATGAGCTAGGCACATTTTATTCTAATCTTCTTCTGATGGAAGTTAAACTAATTGATTTCAGAAGTCCTTGAATGATATGATGCTTTACTGATTAATTTGAAATGCCAGCTGACTTACTGAACTTGTTAACATACGTAAATTATAACTGATCAATAGCTATTGATTCTAACACCAAAGAAGAATATACTTTTACATGCTTTTTGTTATTTATAATGTATCAAGGATTTTATCTGTTTCAATCATAGGTGCTGGTATCGTCAAATGCAAAGTTTACCAAAATTTTCATGCTTACATAACCTAATCTTCAAGTTAAACTAATTGATTTTAGAAGTCCTTGAATAATATGATGCTTTACTGATTAATTTGAAATGCCAGCTAACTTACTAAACTTGTTAACATATGTAAATTATAACTGATCAATAGCTACTGATTCTAACACCAAAGAAGAATCTACTTTTACATTCTTTTTGTTATTTATAATGTATCAAGGATTTTATCTGTTTCAATCATAGGTGCTGGTATTGTCAAATGCCTTAAGTTAAGCTTTAGGCATACTTTAACCAACTTTTCAGTTTAATGACAACCCATGATGACAAAAAGTTACAGGAACAGGTAGTCACATGTCCCATCAGTTTCAGACTGATCATATCAGCCCGTTTCTTTCAAACCAACTCTTTTTGAGAATAAGCATATTTCTGAGGTAAAAGGAATTGGTGTGAGATGTAGCAATCTGAAATTCCTGCAAACTTACAGATGTTGACCACATTGGTACAAAAACAAAACAAAGGATGGAAACAAAAGTAAAATATATATATATATATATATATATATATATATATATATATCTTCTTGAAATAAATTGACAATCAAGGATGACAAAAACGATAAAAGGAACAAATCATACTTCAGATCATATTCTAATAAAAATCCCCAATGTACAAGTCTACACATGCAAAGAAGGTATAGAATGGTTAAAATTGTCAAGTAAATATCAGAAAACAAGGCAAAACATGAGGATTGTAGGCTGTTAAACATACAATGCAAACCATTGGCATCAGATGCTTTAAGCTTTCCGCAAAGAATCTCCCCAACATATGGTCGGAACATAATTAGCCTAAACACGACCTATATAAAACATCAAACTGATTAGTATTAACACTAAAGTAACTGTCGAAACTAGAGACCATGTTTTGCTAGATGGGTGATTCACCAAAGATACATTAAATTGGAAGTTTAAATGATGTGTTTGGAAGGGCCTTCATCCTGCCAACCAAATGCAGGGTACTCAGACCTAAGCAAAATAAAGTTTTGTGAAAGCTAATGATGTGGCAGCACTTTGGTCTTCAATTGTCATCCCGTGAAATAGCATAGAACAAGCGTTTGTCGGGTGGAAATAATGGTTCCATCTCACCAACATAGATAATATTTATTGTTCCAGTCAGAGAAGGCATCACAAAGCCACTACATTGGGGAAATAAAATCACTTTATAAGATGCTGATGTTTAGACTCTATTATTTGTCATAGTCATCTTTTAGTCATTTATGCTTTTCCATGTATTACAATAGACAAACATGCTAAAAATCAAAAGAATTATGGACTTATTATAAGTCGATTATCTTTAACCCTTGTTTCTAAACAAATGCACCTTCCCTAACAAATCATCTTTCTTGTAGGATCCCACCAATTAAATTTCTTTAAAGAGACCTACCCCTCTTACCTATTTTTGGTAAGATATAGTCATCTTGTTAAGATATTTCTGATTTTTCAAATAAAACATTAGAAGAACATGGAAAGAAAACTCAAAAGAAGGTTGGATTTATTGTAAGTCTCTTATCTGTAAACCTTGTTTCTAAATATATGCATCTTCTGCAACAAAAATCATCCTTCTCGCAAGACCTCATATCTATTAAAGTTCTTGACAGACACAAATGCATATCTATTAAGTTCATGGCCACATAAGAAAAAGCCTGTTTCTCCTAAATATTCTATCAAAGTTTAGCAAATTTAAGGATCATAAGTTGTTGCATTTTGTAACCGTCAAAAATCACACGAAGATGAAAACAACAAATGGATCTTCACACTATTGAAATTGTCAAGGAAATGCTTAAGTGACCAAGACCACATGATCATTAAGCTGCAACTAACCAAGTATACTTTGAATAAATAAGAATGGGCAAGTTCACACACCTGAAGTCTTGGTAACATATTTTCAGAAGAATATTTTTTAACTGCTATTATTTATTAATGATCTTATACAGTAAAAGTCTGTTAGAGAGTGGTGAAAAGATTATAAAAAAAAAAGCTGCACCTAACCAAGTCTTTTGGAATAACCAAGAACGGGCAAGCTCAAAAACCTTTCTTTAGAATACCTTAAGTCTTGGTTACATATATTCAGTAAAAAAATTTCTATTGCTATTATTAATTAATGATCTTACACAATTTTTCTGAGAAAGTAAAAGTCTCTTAGAAAGTGGTGAAAAGATCAAAAAAATCAAAACTAAAGAAACCAAGAAAGAGCATGAAAATAATAGAGAAAACTGATCAATAATATCACATGAAAAATTAAATTCAAATGATAAATAGATTTCTCTGAAGATGCAATGCCTCCTGCAGTTTCAAATCTTGAAATAAAAGACTAATTGTTCTCAGAATAAAAAAGATAGATTTCATCAATTTCAATGAGAAAATCATTGCAGAAATTAATACAATGGCACTATATAAAGTAAGAACACTTAATAAAACCTTATATGTGGAAGAACCATCACCAGGGAAGACAAAGCCACCTTCTATGGTTCGAATGTCATAGATAGAGATGCAAAGACCCAAATTTGAGAGAACCTGGTGGGTGGAAACAAAAACATAAATAAATGGTATACAAGCATATAAAAAAAAATTCTCATAGGAAATATATCAACTGCACCTTGTCCAAAAACAACCTCTCAAGTTCTTCCTTAATTGCATCAAGAAGAGGACGGTTAAGCAAGTGTGGAGGCAAAGGCAAGTTATGCTCGATTAAGCTGAGACAAAACATGCTCCCTTCAAAATGAGAACAAGAATAAAAAATGTTATCATCATTTGAAATATCAAACATTGCTATATCAAACTTCAACGAGAAACAGTGTTGTCAAAAGGTCAAAGGCACTACGCACTAAAAGGTGCCAAGACTCCAAATCACCCAAGCTCACTCGAGCGAAGTTGCTCTTCAATATAAAAGTCATAAAAAGATATGATTAAGGAGAAAGAAAACTAGACAATATGAATATTATATCATTTTATAATCAAAATATCACCACTAAAGCATCAAATTACATTCATTTAATCACCTATAAAACATTAATGTATTAAATTGTCCAAATATAATAACAAAAGAATGAACATCGAAAGTCCAAGAATTTTGACAAGTCTAGCAGTGACAATTCAAGTTCCAAACCGTGACAAATTCAATAATTAACACATTTAATAAGATATTACTAACAATAATTAACTATTATTAATAAGAAATAACATTAGTGTAATTAACAACTCGGTAGGAGGCAGGGGAGGGGTACAGGAGGAGATCGGCTGAATGTGGAGGAAGGCAGGGGAGGGGGGCCTGACAACAGCAGAGGCGGGGGGCCAATAGCGGCAGAGAGGGGCTGCGGACTGGACGGCAGATGAGGGCTGTCGAGGAGAGAAAGAAGCAGGAAGAGTAGAAGCGTCGTCGGAGGCGGGGCATGCCGAGGGCAGTGGAAGAAGCAGAAGGGCCGTCGGGACTGTTGAGAGCGGCCGGAAGAGAGAGAGAGCGAGTGGGGTAGAGGGGAGAGAAAGAGAGGAGGGGCGACTCTGTTTGGGAGAAGCAGAGAGCGGGGGTAAGGAGGCAGTACCACTGGGAGGGAGGTACCGTCGCGGGAGGTGAAGGAAAGAACAGCAAGGCGAGGGGTGCAAGGGCTGGCACCGCCGAGAGGGGAAGAGGGGTTGGGAGAAGGAGAGGTAGGGCGAGAGGAACGAGAAGAAGGCACCTCCGCCTGAGAGAAGGGAGGCACCACCGGAGGGCCGCTCGCCTTACCCAACAACGCCGCGGCCGGCTTCCACGCGGGCGCTAGGAAGACGATATCCGGCCACCTCGCACACGCACGAAGACGAGGATTAGGTTAAAGGGAGGGAAGACGATGATTCGGTACAGCTTCTGAAACAAAACCACTTCGGACACATCGTAACATAAGTCGCGTTGTGAAGAGAGTATTAGTATTGTCGCATTATGAGCACTTTCCATCATATCGGCCTCAATTAAATGCGTATGTAAAAATGCGAATCTGATCCGAAGCCAAACATGAATCCGAAGTCTTATTAAAGACCACATTTGAATTTTATCGGACAAACGAATCGATTTATGAACATCGTAAAATATTTGACCATGTTTGAATCTGAATCTGAATCTGACTCGATCATTTATTTTTGAATTTTTTAATAAAATATTTACATTTTAAGTACTTTATTTTTAAAACAATATTATTAATTAAAAATATCTTAATTATCTCTCAAAGATTATAGTATCATTTGACGTATTGTAATATTTTGACTACTATAATAAAAATACTATAAAGTTTATTTAAAAAATATAAATACATTAAATTAAATTAAAATACATTAGAAATCACTTAATTGATAATTCAAATAAGTATTTATGATATTTTAGGATTAATATCACCTAAATAGAAATAAAAAATTAGTTTTTTATAATATTTTGACTATTATAATAAAAATATTATAAATAATTAAAATAGAGTTCTAATCTCAATCAAACCAATTACTAACATAAAAAATGATATTTTAATTATTAGACAAACAATAACAATAAAAAATCATAATATTATGTTATTAAAACTAATAAAAATATATAAAACATCATAAACGAGTCAAATTGAAATATTATAACAAATAAAATTATTTAAAAAATATTTAAATTTTTTTAGCTTGTTTCTGTCTTAAACTGAACGCTGTGCATAATTTACTAAGACAGTAGACTGGTCTTCTTCGGCCTCCTCTTCGTCCTTCTCCCTGATGGCCGTCACTTCATCCCTCTTCCATCGTCCCGGTCTTCTCTTCTCCACTCTCCCAGTGCAGACTTCCTCTCCCCGCACACTCCTTCCTTGTCCTCTCATTCTCCCTCCCACCTCAAGATTCGCACTCATCCATACCTCAAGGCAGGTACTCCTCCTCCTCCTCCTCCTTCAATAACAACTTCTTCTACTTATTCCCAAAAAAAGGGGAACTTTTTTTACATTTCCGAAGTTATTTGAGATCACTAACTTGGTCTCCTCGTCCATCTTTCAGGCTGCATCGCCGCCGGCGGCCACGCTGCGCGTCGTCTTCACAGGTGGCGGCACAGGGGGACACATCTACCCGGCGATCGCGATCGCCGAGGCGATCAAGGACGCCAGTCCCGACGCCGAAATCCTCTTCATCGGCTCCGGCGCCGGCCTTGAGGCAGCTGCCGTCCCCTCCGCCGGCTTCACCCTCTCCACCATTCCCCCGGCGCGCCCCTCCCGACCCCTCCTCTCCCCCTCCAACCTCCTCCTCCCCTTCCGCCTCATCCTCGCCGTCGCCGCTAGCTCCCGGATCCTCCGCCAGTTCCGGCCCCTCGTCGTCGTGGGCACCGGGGGGTACGTCGCCGCGCCTGTATGCCTCGCCGCCGCCTTGTCCGGCATCAAGATCGTCATCCAGGAGCAGAACAGCCACCCGGGGCTGGTGAACCGGCTGGCCGCGCCGTGCGCGGAGACGATCTTCGTTGCCTTCAATGCCTGCGTGAAGCATTTCGACCGTAAGAAGTGCTTGGTGTACGGAAACCCGGTGAGGGTCGCGCTGCGGCGATACGTCTCCAAGGCGGTGGCGCGGTCGCACTTCTTCCCCAAGGCGGGGCCGAAGAGCGGCGAGGACAAGGCGCAGGTCGTGCTCGTGCTAGGGGGCTCATGTGGGGCGGAAGCTATCAATATAGCGGTTCTCAACATGTACTACGAGATGTTGCTGCAGCACAAGAACAGGCTCATCATTTGGCAAACGGGAGCCGATGGCTTCAACGAAATGGAGAGTCTTGTTAAGGTGAACCGACGATTGCATCTTACACCGTGAGTTCTTGGTTACTTGCTTTGCTCGTTACACTGAGATTGTTGTTTTGATCTCATATTTTCAATCTAAATCACTTAGATTGCTCATTGCATTTTTTGAACCTTCAATTTCTAAGATTAACTCAATGTGTAAGCCTACCTGCAAACGCTAGCCTAAAAATTTTACCTTTGGAGTCATATAATGATGATATATTGATATGATGATCCTTAATTGAATAAGTACATCATGAATTTGTTAAGATAGTTATTGATCAAGGTAAGTGTTCGATGGATCTAGCCACTGGGATGTTCAGCACACACTGCTTTTTAATTACTAAGATGTCGGAATATCTATTATAGACGACACATTACTCTTCTTTTGACCAGCTACATTTGCTAATAAAATTATTAAGACAGCAAGCCTTATTCAACTGACCCTATCCTGTCATCTGCTCCTACAAAAAGTCAAATTTGTTCTTTCTTCAGCTCTCCTAAACAACTGACACAAGTTTCTTGGAGTCTTTATCTTGTCAACTTGCTCTCTCTTCTTTCTTAAAACTTGTAACCAATTCCTTTGGGTTGTCTAAGTTTCTCATACCCCACACATTCTTGGAGTCTTTATCTTGTCATCTTGCTCTCTCTTCTTTCTTAAAACTTGTAACCAATTCCTTTGGGTTGTCTAAGTTTCTAATACCTCACACATTCTTGGATTCTTTATCTTTTCATCTTGCTCTCTCTTCTTTCTTAAAACTTGTAACCAATTCCTTTGGGTTGTCTAAGTTTCTGATACCTCACGCATTGTTTTGCAATTTTTTTTAGTCCATCTCTATGTACTTTTGGCACAATCACTTGTGTTCCATCTCTGTGTTCTTCAATTTAATGATTCCTCAGAAACTTCTAGCCAATAACATTCTAAAAATTATCATTTTTTTATTGTTGTTTGGTTCCTCACAATTTCTTCCTAATATCTTCTTAGGTTTTTCAAATCCCTTCTTGCAATTTCTTTATTCTTTATCTTTGTTGCTGTTTTCTTTACACTTACACTTATTCCATGTTGAGCAAATCCTTTTGGCCACCACTTTGATTTGGTCCTGAACTGTTTTCCATAAAACTGACCACTGAAGTTCCCATCGGCTCCTCAAAACTGGGGAGTTATTGGATGTGGAACCATTCATCAAATATATATTTTCATTTGTCATGCATGCAATACTTCTAGAATCCTGAGTACTAGAACATGGGATATTACGAAAAAGAATAATTAACTATAACAAGAAGGCCTTAAGTTTATTACTGTAGCAATCTAACCTATTACCTATCCCAAAATAGAAGGTAGGTACATCTCGATGTTGTTGTTATGGCAAAACAATCTTTGTGATTGGTCTTCCCTTAGTCATGGTGCTTATCTAGATACCAAATCCATTAGAAATGCCTCCAACAGCTAATATCAGATTCAGATGCCATGATTCTTTACTATTTAACGTCTCAGTTTGGTTCTGATCCATGAGGTCTCATACAAAATTCCCATGCAAAAAACACTGTTCTACATTGTGATTTATTTTTGGAAAACACTTAACATAGCCATCAACCAAGAGTCCTTTTTTCCTCGACACTCCATTAATTATTTCATGTGCATTTCTTCTAAGAGGGCTGCAGTGTTTTATACTGCTAAAACACCATCTGACAAACCTTGATCGCTGCTTCTTCCAGCAAAAACTTCACGTTAGTCATTTAATCTCTCACACAATAAATTTATATTTGTAGAATTTGTCCACAACTAGAATAGAAAAGGTATACAAATTTCTGGCATCTTTGACAGCATCTTACTCTTCTAAAGCATCCAAAGAACAATGAAGAAGCACATCTTTTTTTTTTTACCCCTCAATTTCTACTGTCAAATTTCACAAAGAAGGATAAGGATGGATATACCTGATAGGGGAAAGAGGAAAGAATCAACATCACTGATGTATATTGTGGTTGAGATTTACATAAAAGTGAAATCGGTTCTCTCATACACAATTTTCTGTACTTGTTTCAGGAAATATATTTCAAGATTACTCTCACAATTTGATTTGTGTGCTTTGATTGCATATTTTCGTTTGGCTTGTTTTTGGTGTCTGAGTCTCCTTTTAATATATGAAGGTTCCTGCATGAGATGGATTTGGCTTATGCTGCAGCTGACGTGGTTGTTTCTCGTTCTGGGGCGATGACTTGCACTGAGATCTTGACCACCGGAAAGCCATCGATTCTGGTATTGAGAATGCTACTTCTTAGGAATCTATTGAAGTTTATGGAACTTAAATGAACAAAAAAAATTATTTGGGAAACTTAATATTAGGCATTGTGCTCCGACTATTGGTAACATTATACTAGTAGTCTAGTACAAAAAGTTATGTATAAGTTGTCTTTGAGAATTATCAAAGGGGAATTTCTGCATATCATTTATACTCCTTAAGTTATCCCAGTATCCAGACAATTGTAAACTTGTAAATACTTGATATTTTTTAGAAGAAGCAAGGAAAGGCTAGCTTAGTATCTTCTTTAATAAATTTAGTATTTATACTTTGTAATTATTTGCTTCAATGTGGTAAATATATTGTTTTTATGTAGCATTCTTTTTGTTTCTTGTAAAGATCTTTAGATCTTCTGAGCCTGGACTTTTAAGATATATTGAGTTTAAGGTGGACTATTACAATAAACGTTGTGCATATCCTAACTCTGTGAATTATCTATTATTGAGGTTCTTCATAGTTCATACTCTGACACTGTATATAAAAAACATTTGATGCAAATTTAAGGGGAAATGTTACATGACATATACACTCTATTGGATCTCATAGAAAAATAAGTAAAAGGGAAAGAATAATGGTTGGGAGTTGTACACCCCTTAGAATTTTGTTTATTCAATTACTTGGAAACTACTCAGGTACAAGGGGAAAGCGAACATTAATATAAGTTGCAGCATATCTAAGGGACAAATGGAAGTGCCAAATAAAAATCTTTCAAGGAGGCTCCTTACCCATGTAGAAGTTATGTGATTAAACAATCTTTTATAACCTGCCATGAGCATTAGACTTTTTATGGCCAAGTTGAAATAGGTAGTCGTCTCAACTTTGAAACAACAGAAG